GTACCAGCATGCTGTAGGCTGCCTTCAAGCCCAGTCTTTGGCTCAGAGGATCTCCATGGTAACTTGGGAAGTCCTTAAAAGTCATCTAGCCTGTTTTCTAAAACACATGGAGATCCAGTCCGCGGGGGAGAAAATGGCCTAGGCTCTACAGCCAGTTTGATGCAGAGCTGAGGGTAGAACTTGGGGAGGTCTTGACTGTCCCCAAATCTTCTTAACTGAGGGTTAAGGGTACCTGTTGGCTGTGGTTGAGGGTGCCAGTTATAACATTAAGGGTGTGTATGGGGCTCAGCACGCAAGGACTCTGTGGAGAAGGGACTAGGCAGCTTCCATCTGCTCTCAGGCCTGGCACATACTCAGCCTCCTTCCAAGTCCTGCTCTGGAGAGCTTGATCTTGGCTAGATAGGCCAGGTCAATAGGAGTGACTGACCTATGCTAGGTCCAGGTCAATAGGAGTGACTGACCTATGCTAGGTCCAGGTCAATAGGAGTGACTGTGACTGACCTATGCAGGAGTGACTGACCTATGCCGCCACCCCCCCCCATTTCTAACTCCACACAACTCCTTTCTGTTCAGAACTTCATCCAAGGAAGCCAGCACCTTGAGGTAGCATGGGCTCCCTAGTCATTCCGCCAGAGAGTACACATGCCATATCTCCTGCTGCTTTTAGGGAAACGGATGCTTCTGAGTTCTGTCCTAGGCAGAGTGAGAGCCACCAACGTTCCTCCATTCTCTGCCTCTGAGCTGCTCCCCTGAGCCCACAGAGATGCTTCAGTAGCTGCCTCTGTTGATCTGTATCCGTCTGTGTTGATGCTTATTAATACCAAAAGGGCACACACAGTGTGCCAACAGCTGCTGGTTCTGGGGGTGGGTCGTACGCAATGGGGGTTTGTACCCCACTCCTGGTATCAAAGGAGATATGACTGTGTGTTAAGTGGACAAAGGGAGGGCTTACAATGCTAATCCTTGGTAGTCAACTTGACTATATAGGAATTCAAGAAAACCCAAGTGGCTGGGTACACCTCTGAGGAGTTTTTCTTGATTTATTTGCAGTGGGAAGGCCCACCCTAACTCTGGATCTTTTTTGGTGGGAAGATCCACCATTAATCTGAGCCACACCTTCTGGTGGCAGCCTATATAAGGGATGTTGAAGCAGGAAGTACTTGCTTTTTGCCTTTTTGCCCTCACTCTCACTGGCAAGTGCGTTCACTCAATGGCATTAGAGCCTGAAGACCAGCTGAAACATCCAAACTTGTGGACTGAAAACAACTGTATTCTTGAACTTTCCATTGGGAGAAATACATTGTTGGAATAGTTAGAGCACAACCTGTAAGCCAGTCTAATAAATCCTGTGTGTGTGTGTGTGTGTGTGTGTGTGTGTGTGTGTTGTGTTCTATTATTTCTGTTTCTCTAGCAAACCCACCAATACAGAACACAAGAGAAACATTCTCACACCAACCCATTGTGCGCCCAGACATCCTGGTCCCCAGCCATAGGATGGCAGTCAATTGAGGATACAGAACCTTCACAACATTTTTTTAAATGTCTTTTAATGTATAACAGTTATGCCTGAGTTACAGAGGCAGCGCTTACAAGCAGCAGGTAGTTAAAGCAAATACCAGTTTGTCTTTCTAGTCTACTACTCCATATAGCTGAATAAATTATGGTGCGATTATATTTAGACACCCGCCCACACGCACGCATCCCACTCACACCCCTCATGCACACACACTCACTTGGCGTGGAGGTACATGGCTGACTCAAACGCTGAAGCAACAGTGTTGCCGTTACTAGAAAGAAGGAATGTTCTCCAGCAGTATGGGTATTTTCCCAGTAGGGGGCGCCCCCAGTCAATGTAGACAAGAACAACATTCAATGCACAGGTGTCTAGAAGCATTTCAGCAGGGCAGCCTGAGTCCCCCAATCTGGTCTTGGCTTGGTGCATCTGCAGGAGGTTAGGATGCTTGTTTACCCTAAAATGTGTCTGATAGGGAAAGATGTGTCCAGGGCCTGGGGGGAAACACCAGCCTCATAAAGGATCTACACGACGTCCCTGTAGTTGGCAACTGTGGAGAGTCCCTCAGCAAGGCCCAGCTCCACCTCTTAGAATATTCTACCAGTTCTACACAAAACAACACTGGACCCGGTGGAGCATGTCAATCCAGGCTCTGTCCAGGGCCACAGCCATCATCTTGCTGCAAAACTGCCCTTCTCTCTTGTCTCCCCAGCCAGCCCCGCCCTCATCTTTTCTCCTACTTTCTGTTTCCCAGTGTCTGTTTCCTCTGCTCCTTCCTGGTCCCCAAAAGAAGGGCAAAGGTAAACCCAGCATAAAACAAGAGAATAGAAGCTTGGTTCTTACCACCATCACTTTCATCTTCATAGCAAAGAGAGAAATACCAAATTAAGGGGACGATGACCAAAAAAAAAAAAAAAAAAGATGAAGGAACTCAAGAAAGGCTGGAATACATAATTCAAAACACAGAATGAACAAATCCCTACAGATGATCCCTGGCACTAGCACGACACACACTGTGGGGGTCTCTTTCCTTTCCCTTTTTTTTAAGTATATAGATTTATATATAAAAAGCCAATGTTCTATAAACGAACAGCACAACACCACATTTCCAACTAACATACAATGAGTTCAGAGGGGCCTCCACAGAACCAGTAGCTACTTGAGGTGACATGGAGGGCGCCCCTCTTATCTTGCTATTGACTCTATATACAGGGATGAGGGGTGTTTCTGGTCTGACCTGGCTAACTGGAAGTTAGGCCTCCTAGGCTGCGCTCAACCCCAAAGGGACAGAGAGGCCTGGTGCCGCCCATCTAACCGGCATCACCTCTCTGGTGAGCTGCAAGCTGAGTTTTACAGACCAAGGTGGACAGATACACAAAGACATGAGATGCTGGAGAAATCTGTTGGGGGTCAAAGGCCCCTTTGGAACGCAAGTCCAGTTTTATACCAAGATGGCAGCTTGGGGAACATTCAGAGGCGTTGAATGGAATGAGAAGTCATTTTTTTTTTTCTCCCAAGCAGGTCTTGGTTGTGATTACCCTAGTGGGTAGACCATTGTAATTGGTCCAAGCATTGGAATGTTGTTTCCTGGGCTGGGGCTGGGCCCTGTGGATGCCACCTGCATGAGGTCCCTGATCCCGAATCGTACTGGGTGGACAGAGATCCAGAGGCACCCAGAGCCAGGCCTCTAGGGAGCGAGGAATGCAGAGGAAGATGCATTTGGTCTTCTGACAGGGGCACTTGCTGCTGTGAGACCTACAAAAGGGGAAACTGGGCTTCCAAGGGGCAATGTGACTTTCCTCTTGTCCAGCCCTTGCAGAGCCCAGAAGTCTCCTCTCTTGAAACCTGGACAGAGCTGGTGAGCCCCACTTGCCTGGTGTTTGATGCTACTGAAGAGTCCGTTTGTCCCAGTTATTAACAGACATCGCTAAATCACAGATACAAGCCACCCTAGTCATGGCCCAGGACAGGTTTTGGGTGATGGGTCTAAACATGAGAAATGCATGTTCTTCGGTCACATGTTCATGGAGACAAGTGTCCCAGAGTCTTGCCAGTCCAGATCCCCAGGCAGAAGGAAATCAGTTGGGGCTACTGAGCAGCAGCCCCTCTTTCTAGGAATGTCTTGCTGGCTGAGGGCAGGAGGCATGGATTGGGCCAGCAGTGGGAACAAGCAGTTCGTGGGTTTGGTGCTGTGGCACCCTCATCCTAGCACTTGATGAAGCTGGTCCGAGCTGAGATTATAGTGAGGGAGAGGGTAAAGATGGGTCCAATTTTGATAAATAGAGGGCGATGAAGAGCTCCAGGGAGGAGAATTGGGGAGCCTGAGCAATCCATTTCCCCAAAGACCCAGCTCTAAAAGAGGAAGTGCAAGGAAGGCCCTGGAGTGCTTAAGGAAGGTGCCTTGTCCTATTTGCTGGGACTTTGGGCATCTTCCTCTGCCCAGGGGTGGTGGCTTAAAAACAGTGCCCCAGGGACACTGTGCTTGGTGAGGAGACAGAAGTCTCCTGACTGAGAACAGCCAACACTGAAAAATGCCACTCTGAAAGGGACAGGGACATGGCCTTCCACTGAGACACCGAGGAGATTGAAGCATCTTCTGGGGGGGGGGACCAGCAGTTTTGCCTGATCCAAGAAGGCTCTCTGCATCCAGTGGCATCAAAAGCCTTTCATGCTGGGAGAAGGAGGGCCCTTTTCAGAGGACCAGCATGTATGTGGCAGGTTTCCAGCTGCCAGTGAGATGGTGTGCAAAACTCCAGTGGTGTGGACTTGAAAGCTGAATGTCCTCAGACCCTCTGAGCCTGCCTTGTACCTCCTGGACCTGGCAGCAGGCATTCTGGGATAGCCCATGGCCAACAATCTCTGCTTCCATGCCCCCTGCTCCCTGGTAGAGTATCTTACTGATCTCCTGATATCCAGCAGGGGTGTAAGGGGATGGTTACAAAGTCCTCTGGATTCCTGGGTAAAACTGAGATGTTGCCTGCTTTCTCCCCTGGGAATCCCCTGGGGGCTCATCTCAGTGTCCAGTGAAAGGGGCTGCAGTTCTGATGCCAAGCAAGAGACACACCCCTGTGAACTCCAGCTGCACCTGTGGCCAGGGCACCCAGGACTCAGAGGTCAAGGACTCCAGGGCCTTGTCTTTGGCACCATTTTCCTCTGATGACCAGGTGCTTGGTTCAGGTTGACCCTCGGTCTCTGTGCCAAGACAGGATCAAGGCCATGACACTGAAAAATGGATGTAAGCTGGAGATCATTGTAGGATGGCTAGGAGATGGGGGGGGGTGCAGATCCAAGGGGCCACTCTGGGACACTAACCATGGGTAAATGATACTGGTTGTCCATCTCCAGAGGGCCGCCTGTGGGAAGGGAAGGGGTTCCTTCCCTGGCCTCCTTCAACCCCAGGGGGATGAGGGGACTGAGGTGGGAAGGCTCGGGGGGGTTGGGAAGGGCTAGGCTGGGCCACTGACTGAGGCAAGTCGCCCCAGGGGCCCTAGTAGGCCTGGCCGGTTTCCACAGGGAGAAGTCCCAGCACTGCAGAGTGTTCCCCAAGCTTCATGCGGCGCTGTGTGGACAGGCTCACGTTTTTGGCCAGGTAATCAACAGCAGCTGGAAAGAGAGAGAAGCTTCTAGAAACTGAAGTTCTTTTCATGTATTCTTCCATTTAAGCTTCATCTTCTGTCCATCAGTACATCCATCCACCACTCCATCCGTCCCTCCAACCATCTACCCTTCTGTCCATCCATTCATCTATTTACCATCCATCTTACCAATCTGCCCATCCGTTCTTCTATTCATTCATTCTTCTGCTCAGCTACGTATCTACTATCCATCCACCATCCCATCCCTCCATCCAACCGTCTATCCTTCTGTCTGTGGGGTTTCCCATCAATTTTAATATCCACCCATTTTCCATCCATCCATCACTGTGTCCACTCATCCATCCACATATCTTTCCATCTATCCATCTGCCAATCTAGCCTTCTGGTCCTCCATCCATACTATCCAGCTATCCCTCCTTCTATTCATTCATCTGCCTGTCCGTCTTCCGCTTATCCTCTGCTGGCCAGTTTCACTGTCAACTTGATTGACACAGCCTAGAATTCCCTGAGAAGGGAACATCAGTTGAAGAACTGTCTAGATCAGGTTGGCTTATGGGCATGTCTGTGGGGAACTGTCTCGAATTGCTAACTGATTATTAATCAACCCAGTCCACTGTGGGTGACACCATTCCCTGGGCAGGGGGCCTTAAGCTGTGTATGAATGAAGAAAACTAACTCTGCAGGTATTTACTCAGTGTTTGTTGTTTCCCCAGCTCTCTTGCTGCCTCTTTGAGCAAGTACAGACACACACACACACCCCAGTACTCAGTGGAGAATTAAGCTCCCTTCCCACAAGCCCTCTGGCTATCCAGGCCACAGGGAGGCTAGTGAGCCCTGCTGAGTGACTCCACATGGCACCGAGGATGAAGGTTCTCAACCTGTGCTGGACCCTGAGTGCAGCTCATGCACAAGGCCCAGCAGGGCCCTTGTGAGCCAAAGCGGCTTGCAAGTGAACCAAGGGGGGCAACAGGAGGAAGAGTGGGGGCTGAGAACCACAGACCATCAGCTCCAGTGAAAACAGGCTGACATTGGTGGGGATGAGGTGTGAGCGTGAATGGTGATGGGGTACTCTGAGACCAGTGGGAACGAGGGTGTCTTCACAAGACAATGCCGAACACAGCATGAACGTTCATACAAAACAATGCCTGCCCATGCCCATTTGGGACACACACACACACCTGTGAGCCATGTGCCCCTCGTGAGTGGATGCACAAATGGGAACACCTATGCACGCACAGGCCCGGTGAACATAAGAGTTCACCTGAGGGAGACACAGGTATCCGTCAAATGTGCTACAACTGCTGGCCTGCCAGCGAGTGGATCTGTCCTGACTGAAGCTCTAGCAGAAATCTGTCCTGACCAAGGCACTGGACAGGCATGTGACCAAGCTTCCCAGGGTGCAGGATGCTGCCTTCTAGGCAGGGCCTTGTGACTGTAGCCAGTGCACCCTTATAGGACCCCCATGACACAGAGGGCTTAGGGGAAGATAGGAAGCCGTGCATGAAGAGTCACAAGGCTCCCTCTGTCACCTGCCTTTCAGGGCTCCCCATAGACAGACTCTGAGCTTCTTCAAGCTTGGAGCCTTCTGCATAAAGAGGGGAAGTAGAGCTAGGAGGGGATGGACACAGCCTGATAGTTAGGCCAGGGAGGCCACTGGGACAATCTCAGTAGCTGAGCTATATCACACGGGGGCTCAAATTACCTGGATTTTAATGCCACACCTGCCAACCTTGAGTGTGATCTGGGGCACACCACCCAGGCCTCAATTTCCTTGTTTGTATCATGGGGTAGAGCATCTGGACTAAAGAACTGCAAGGAAAGTTAACAGACTCCACACACATAGTCTTTAAGGATAGAGAGTAGCACTTGTGAACTCAGCCCCAGAATAAATGTGACCTTCAGGAGTGGTATGGAGGAAAGGGTGACCAAGGAAGTGGCCACATTCCAGGTCATGTGGTTTTGAGAAAATTGTCTTTCCTTTTAGGTCTTTTTATCCATCTGCAAAATTGGGTGTGGTCATTGTTTTTAGACGCACTGTCAGAGAGAGCTCAGGACAAGCTCCTCCCCCCAGACTCCTAAGGGATGTGCAAATATCCTATGGTCTCTTTGGGTCTCCTCTGTGCCTCAGCTAGCCAGGCTCAAGGTAGGCAAATGGAGGAAAGTCCTGTGATGAGCTCCGAGGCTTGAGGGTCTGTGATGTCACTCATTCCATCCCAGGCTCCCAGCTGGTAGAGCAGAGACAGCTGTGGGGAGTGTGGGTTTCCCAGCTCTAGCTTTGAGAAGACCCCACAGCTCTGATCACACTATCATTTCTCCTTGGGTTCCAGGGTGCGTGGACCAGTGAGTCACCCTCTTGGAGGGGTGACAGGCACAGAAGGGATAGAAACAGAAGCTGCAGGGAAGTAGCCCTGTGCTGCTCCCAGCCCTGTACTTAGGGTGCTTTTTGGTCTCATTCCAGCTCTACAAGCCAGGTAGTGTGACTGTCCCTTTTCCCTGTTTGACAGAAGGTAGAACCAAGGTCCTTGGGGACTGTAATTAAAATCAGCTGCTTCCTCATTTATGCTTTCAAACCCCAGCAGCCTGGTGACAGTTCCTTAGCCTTGGGCCTCATCAGTAGCCCCTAGAAATAACCCTGGAGTATGAGCATCCCTAGCAATGGCCCCCGGTGTGCACTCGGCCCTCAAGACTGAGGTACTTTGCCCCCATGCTCACATTGTCTCATTTCCACTTCAGGGAATGTCATGGACTTACCAAGGGCACACATCACCTCAGATACCCTTTCTTTTGCCACAGAAGGTAGTGGCCTGCCCTTGCCTCAGCTATGCCATGCTGGGCTCTGACACTACCTCATAAGTTATTCCTGCAGTGGGCTATGGAGTCTGTCATGGAGCAATGACAGCAAGGCAGAGTCCACACTTAGTTGGCACTGGCTGTTCTAGGGGAACATGAGCTCTGTGCCTTGGGCAGGATGGTTCCCATTTCATAATGTGGAAACTGAAGCACAGCACAGTTGCCAGTCCAGAGTGACACTTCACACGTGGCCTGGAGGAGCTTAAGTTGACACCCATGGAGCTGAGGAGACAGCTCGATGGACAAAACTGTGCAAACGTGACAATTGGATCCCGAGAACCCGTGCAGAAAAGCCAGACATGCTGGAATCTGTGCTGGGGAGACAGGCAGCTGGATCCCTGGGGCTTGATGATCAGTCTGCCTGGTGGCCTGCTTGGTGAGTTTCAGGCCAGTGAGAGAGGCTGTGTCCAAAACCAAAATGGACAGTTTTTAAGGATGATACTTGAGCCTGACCTCTGACCTCCACGTGCACAACTGCACACACAAATAAAGGATAAAGAATTGTTTCACTGGCACCTCTATCCACTCTGTGCCTCTTCCTTGGTTATCCTCCCCCAGCACACAGTAGGCGCTTTCCCAGTTCCTTCTTAAGGTAAGCAAGGAAGCATCCAGAAGTCAAACTTTTCATGCTGACCCTGGCAACTTTCAGAGCACCCAAAGGGCCAACTGTGGGGACAGCTTGCCTCTTCCTAGGGTAGAGCCAAGGGGCTGGCGAGAAGACAGGAAGGTGACACTCCTCATTAGGGACTCTGTCAACAGCCCTTGCTGTCCCTCTGTCCCTCCGTGTTTCCCTTCTCCTGCCTCACGTCCCGCCTGGGCTCTGAACATCTCCAATTACATTAATCAGGAGTTGGCAGGAGATGGGCCAGCAATGCCAACCCGTAAACAAATCTCAGCCATCAATGCCTCGTCAGCGAGCGGCCCCAGAGGAGGACCCTTCTAGACACAAATTCTTATTAGAGTTGTCAGATCTATTAAAATTCTTTTCACACTCCTGCGTTCTATCAGCCCCATCATTAGTATGGCCCTGGCCTCTGGGAACACTGGGGCCATATTAATCTACCATGTGCCCTGTCCCTGGCCTCCTGCCCCCCACCCACTCCAGGGACGGTGAGAGATGGGCAGATGGATGGACATGGCCAGAGCTGGAAAAGAAGGTGTGAAGGTGTCCCTGGGAAGGCGAGAGGCCCTAGGAGATGGGGGAGGATTCTGCTGCATAGGAGTTGGGTCATGTACATGTTCCAAAGACACCTGAAAGTGATGCTTGAGGGCCAGGAAGCAGGCCTGGTTACCTTGCCCACCAATACTTCAGGCAAGTAACTTCTTTAGATGCCATTTCTGTAGTGTGCTGTACAAATAATCACACCTATAGCTCTGTGTAGCAGTGTCGATAGGATGTCAATTCCATAGTAGATGCTCAACTAACCATCATTTCTCCTCCCTTCACACACATCACATACATGAGTCTGCACACGGGAGAGCGTCATACACATGAGTCTGCACACGGGAGCGCGTGCACCAATCAATACCAAGTATCTTGCACAAAATCGGTTCCCCTGTGGTTTGAGTCACAATGCCTCTGCTGTGGGACCTTGGGGACACTACTCTACCTCTCTTAGCCTACCAGGTGGAGGACCAGGAACTGTGAAAGCTCTGTGAATAAGCACACATTTCACACAGTGCTGCAGGGGCTAAACTCAAGCATGGGACAAGAGGCAGCAGGTGACAGGACCAAAATAGGGCAGTGTGTGTAAGATGTGTGTGATTTCCCACGCTTATCAGGGAACCTGGCCTCGTGTGTGCTCAGGGATGTCTGCAGGTAGTTAATGGGGATATGACATGCCCTTGGGCGTCTCCAGAATGTCAACAGAAAAGGATGTAGCATGCAGGAGCCCTCTGAGACGATGTGTCTAGTCCCTGGCCCCATCTCGCAGGTGGGAAAGCTGAGGCTGTGTGTGTGTCTTGTCCTGGGGCACAGGGTGGCAGAGGTAGGTTCCTTAGTGAGTGAGGACTATGTGGGGCTGGAGAGGAGGACAGCCCAAGAGGAGCCCTGAGTTCTCCCTGCAGCCAAGAGAGGAGTCGGGAAAGGAGGGGAGGGGTGAGGAAGGAGAGGGAGGTCAACCGCCTCTCCTTTCTGCTCTCGTGGGCCCCTTCTCTTTTGATCCCCACCACCACCCCCATGCTGACTTTGGGGTTAATTTTATTTCCGAATTGGGCAGGCGCCCTGGAGCAGGGCAGGGGCTCCAGGCTCCGGGTGTGACTAACGCCTGCCCGGGGCTGGCCACGCTGCCGCTGCTGCTCTCAAATGTTTTATCAAGAGCATGTGTGTCGTGTGTTGGGCTGGGAACATGCGCTAGGTCAGGAGGTCAACCAGGGACCCACTGGGAAGGCTTTGTCCACATGGGTGCCTCCTGCTCACAGATGGTCATGTAGAGCTGTTTCCCGGGCACACATTCACACTCACAGCCCCACACACCAACAGTCACACGCATAACCGCATATACAGTCATGCCCAGACACAGCACAGGAACACACCCAGGCACACACATCACAAGCATGCAAAGCACCCAAGCGTGCCTAATCACAGACACCTTTAAGCACATGCACACACCAAAACACCATGTGGGCACAACCACACTTATCTACATACTCATTGTACACAAAGGATACACATGCTTGTCAGTGCGCACGCACACGTATAGATAAGCATGCCAGTCCATAACAGCCAACCTATGAAAATTTAAATGTGTGCATATTGCCACCACATGCTGTCATATGTATGTGTGCCTGTGTGTGCTCTTGCATGCAAAGCCATATGCACATACCAGTGTGTACACAGGATGGTCACTTGTCTATACTTGCATATGGTTATAGGTAAAGGCACCCACAAATGTGCATCGCATATTTATACATATATAGGCAATGCACTTATCTGTGAATCTGTGGGCACGTCGCAGCTGCGGAATCAAGCCACATCACTTGTACACACTGTGTGCACAGACACTTGGACTGTAACATACCTGTGATGCATACACACACGCAAGCATGCACACATGGACATGGGAGGTAGAGGCCCACACAGCTGGCCCTCATTTAACCGTGGAGGCCAAGGCCGTGTGGTTGGAGCGGGCTGGGGGCCTCAGGAAGCAAAGGTCAGTGTGGCAGGGCCAGGCAGCAGCTGGAGGAGAGGATGCCCTTGGGCTGGAGGCCTCACTCTCTCCACACGCCCTCTTGATTAGTTTGACACCAGCAGGTGAGGCTTTTGCTGGGAGGTGGCAGGAGGGCAGCCTTGTGACCTTTGGCTCCCCCAGCCTGTCTGGGTCTGCCCTGCTGCTGGCCCCATCAGGTGGCGGCCAGAGGTTGTGGCCAAGCCCATCTTGCCCAGCTGTTGGCCTGAGGGTCTGCTGTCCCTATATCAAGGCAAGATGCCAAGGAGACAATGGCTAGAGTGGGTAAGTGAAACCCGGGAGGGCGAGGAGGGGAAGTCATGCAAGAAAGCAGAGCTCTACACACAGCCATCCCCCATGCAGAGGGGCAAGAGGGGAGCAGATCCCCCACTCTACTGTTCCCACTTTATGCCACTGGCCACAGGCAGCTAGCTGTCCTGCACTTGACCAGTACCTAGCGCAATGGGGAGCAGGCTCTCAGATGTTAGTTTTATGTCATTCAAATTTAAAAGCTGATCTTTAATTTAATTGTTTCATGGTTGAAAAACTTACAAGTCTATTTAGAAGGACTTGGGTGTGCAGTGCTGTGTCCCCAACAGCACCTTCATGAACTTTAAGGGCTGATGAAGGACAACAAATTCAAGTCCCATCTGGGCTACAGAGTAGTTCAGGCCAGTGTGGACATCTCAGACAAGTGGACTTACTTGTCTCAAAGTAAGAAGTAAATGGAGGACTGGGAGGTGTAGCTCAGTGGTAGCATTCTTCTCTAGCTTGGGCAAGGTACTAGGTTCAATCCTCACTATCACCAAAGGATAGCAACAAAAGCACTGTGTTGAAAGACAGAGTCTGAACAAAAGAATATAAACTGTTTCCTAGGTACTCACAGTGAGCATTCTGAGCATATCGGGTTAAATAAAATATGTTACTAAAAATGACCCTGCCCCATTCTTACATTTTCAAGTCTGGCCTTTAAAAATGCAGGAGCATTTGTGGCTCCTGGAATGGAAATGGGGGGTCTCACTAAGAGGTAAGCCAGGTTGGATGGGCAGCTTAGAACATCTTAGGTCACCTCTGTTTCCTTTAAGGACCTCAGTTTTCCCGCCTGTGAAAGGGTCATCTGTGCTACCCTGTGCAATGACTCAAAGGGTAAAAACACAACCTAGAGTTTGATTCCCAGAGCTCATGTAAAGACAGAAAGAGAGAAACAACACCCCCCCACACAAATTTGTACTCTGGGCAAGTCCATGCCTCCACTAACATACATCACACACACACACACACACACACACACACACACACACACACACACACACAACACTCACACGCATAAAACAGTAAGATAATTTAAAAATTTTTAAAATAGAGACCCTCCACCCTAGCCACCACCTTGCCAAGTAATAAGCCAGCCCACTGGAGATGGGCAATGAGGGGACACTCACTTTGGCCATACTGGCCATACTGGTAGCCAGCCACGGGGTCCACACTGTAGCCAGTGGTGCTGTAGGTGGGTGGGCAGTACGACTGGGACGTGGGCAAGCTGTCTCCTGGCTTGATGGAGTCGGCCCGCTGGCTGCAGCTGGCTGAGATGGAGGAAGCAGAGTCCAGGCCTCCATGCAGCGGGGAGATGGAGAAGTCGGCCTGGGGCTGTGGAGGCACCGCGCTCGGGTTGCTGAGAATGCTCATCACCTGCAGAAGAGACGGGCAGTGCCAGAGGCTGGACCCCAGGGTGCCTTCACAAAGGGAGCACCTGGAGGCCCAGGGCAGACCTCAGCAGTGTCACAGCCTCGCACCGGAAATGGGCGCTGGTCGCCAGAGACTTCCCTACCCAAATGTGGCCCCAAAGGGCTGTTCCCCATCAAGAGCCCCAGGAGCAAGGCAGGCCCTTTGTCCCCCATGGCCTAGTTTGAGGGGTTACCCTCTGTACTCTGCTGAATGAATGACTGCATGCATACATGAGTCATTCACTAACTGGGTGACGGATATCCAGGATCTATTGGCTGAATGAGTGAATGAATGATGGATGGTTCCATGCATAAATAAATGTGAACCAACGCCACAAAGGGACATCCTGAACCCATCAGCTGGATGGATGAATGACTGAATGAATGTACACATGAATGAATGGTTTAATAACTAGATAAAGGGAATCCTGGACCTATCAGCTGAATGACTGAATAAATGAGTGCATTAACTAGATAGTACATTAGTTAGGCCCAATGAACTTACCAGCTTATCAATGAATGGATGAATGAACCAATGGATGCATGCATGAATAAATGAATTCATTCACAAAGGGCATCCTGAGCCTATCAGCTGCATAAGGGAAGAAATGAATGAACGCATAAATGAATGGGCGCATACACATGTGAGCTAACAAATGCACTAACTACACAAGGGCCGTCTACCAGTTGGATGGAGGGATGAATGAATGCATGAATGAATGAGTGAGTGAGTGAGTGAATGGCCACTAACTAGATAAAGGGCACTATCAGCTACATGTTTGACTGACTGACTGACTGAATGAATGAATGCACACATGCATGAGAAATAAATTTACTAGCTAGATAAAGGGCATCATGGGGCTATCAGCTGACGGGATGAATGAGTGAATGAATGAATGGATGGATGGATGAATGAATGAGCAAATGCACTCACTAGGCCTATCAGCTGAAGGGATGAATGAGTGAATGAATGAATGGATGGATGGATGGATGGATGAATGGATGGATTGATGAATGAGCAAATGCACTCACTAGGCCTATCAGCTGAAGGGATGACTGAATGAATGAATTATGCATGTATTGATGCATGTGTTCCTACATGGCCTAACTAGATGATAGTGTCTCTCTCACCAGTCAGGGACTTTCCTCCACTCGTTAGTTGGCTGTGCCTCCCCCTTCAGACTGGGATGCCCATCTTCATACACACTGAAGTGAGGCAGACCTTCCTGGCTTCACAACCCCCACACTTATGTTGGGCTAAGACCGTATCATTCTCAACCTCTCTGGACTTTGAGCTCCTGCCTCTACTGCACCAAAGCATAAAGCCTGTGCTTTTGATATTTTATTTATTTGCGTGTGTGTGTGTGCATGTCATAGCATGCATGTGGAGATCAGAAGACAACCCAAGACAATCAGTTCTCTCCCTCCACCATATAGGTCCTGGGAATCAAACTCAGGTCATCAGGCTTGGCAACCAGCGCCTTTTTCCCACTGACACATCTCACCAGCAGCCCTGCTGCCTCTGGCCTTCACCCATGACCCTGCTTGGCCTGGCTTAGCAGTAGGACCCCCAGACTGATCTCTAGGAACTCAGCCTGAAGAATGGATGTTGGGGCACTGGGGTGCTCACTCAGGCATTCAATAGGTATTGATAACAAGTCTAGCCTCATGCCCCAGGCTGAAGACCATGACTCTTCAGAGTCCTGGCCCTGCCCACTGCAGCAGGAGAATGGAAGCAAAGGGTCTGGGCAATGAGCAAAGACCCTCACAGCGTAGAGCATTGAGGGATTTAGTAGCTATAGCTTTGGCTACGAGAGCCATGGGGGCCCCCAGATTTCTCAGAGGTTTACAGAGACTTCTGGAGAAGGTGGGACCCAGCACAGAGCACTCCAGAAACAGTAGAGATAGGCAGTGTAGGTGGGTAACCCTATAGAGCAAGAGGGCACAGTGATCCAGAGGTGCCAAATGGTGAGATAAGCAAAGTCTGTCAGACCTGCCTGCAGGGCCCAGGCCTCTGGTGACCTTCTGGGGATGCTGCCCTATAGGAAAGAGGACCTGGGTCAGGAGAACACAGCTGGGCCTGTTTGCTTAGCTTTGGGCTGAATGTGGGGCAACTCCTGCTGTACTGTGACCTCTTCACTTGTCCCTAGGGATAAGACTAGTTGCCAGCACAAGGAAAGGTGAAGCCAGACCCCTCTGAGGACATCTGTCTCCCCATGACTTGTTCTGCATAGGATCTGAGGCAGGAGAACAGGTCAAGGGCAGACACACAGGCTCTTCAAGCCCTGGGTGGAGGCAGAGCTCTCAGACTTAACAGCTGTGTGACTGAGGGGGCGTGGACAGCCCGGAAATCCCATGACTCCTGAAGTCCCACAGAAAGGGACTGTGAAGATGGCTGAGTCAGAGGGTGGCTGGGAGGATGAAGGAAGCTCTCTCTGTCCAGGACACGCTCTGTTTTGAGCCTGGCTTGGCACTTGCTCTGGAGACCAGGCTGGCCTCGAACTCACAGAGATCCTCCTGCCTCTGCCTCCCGAGTGCTGGGATTAAAGGCGTGCGCCACCAATGCCCGGCTGCACATCTCTTCTTAACCTTTCATCTACATGACATCCCCAATCCAGTTACTATGGAGACATGCAGGGCGGAGCTAAGAACCCATTTCTCAGGCAAAAATAGTGCTGTCCACAGAGAACTATGCTTCTACCAGACCTCACAGCTGCTCAGGGAACCAGCAAGTTAGGGCCTGGTTCATGGCCCAGATCACCTGCCACGGATTCCCAAGGACCAAGTTGACCCATCCAAGCCCTTTGCAGGGTTATGTAGTCATCTGTTTCTTGGAGAGCCAGTAGAAGAATGGAACACCTCCTTCAGTGCCTGGATTTTGTGAACCAGGTACCTGACCCTAACCAGAGCCAGGTCCAGAGGATGGCAGATTGTCTGCAGGCTTTGCAGGTGGGATTGTTTTTAGGTTGGATGGAACCCTGTGGACCCCTCCAAGATGGCGGAGATGCTATGTGTCTTTGGAGAGGTGTGAAGGGGAGGTTTGAGGCTACGTGGGATGCATCTGGACCATTTTGAGTTGTCGGCAAAACTCACAGACTCATCCTGCCTCTGGCATCTCTGTCAGGGCAGGATGTCCCCAAGCCGGGGAAACGTGCTGGGGGTGGGGAGGTGTACTCCAGGGTGAACTCAGGACTTTAAAACTGACTGGGGCCTGGGAGATGCCACTCTATTTCCAGCTGTGTTTGACTCCTAATCAAGACCCATTTTCCCCACATAAATGATGACCCTGTCACTCATCCTGTGTCATCCTGTCTCCCACAAACAGAGCCCACTCCTTACAGAAAGCCAGGACCCCAGGAATAGACTCCTTCCCTTCTTACAGACCATATATCAGGGTGGGAGGACCCTGGAGGAGGTTGGGACCCAGCTTGAGTCTAGTCTGCCCTTTACCGAGAAGATATGGAGAAGGGTGGGAATCGAGAGGGGGCGGTACTCCACAGATCCCATGCACGCACATTCTCTATGACAGATTCCCACACACACGGTGGCCAGACCTGACCGCATCACCCTACATTTATCAAGGGCCCCAGCAAGGGCTTCTTGTGATCACACCTTTCTCTGCTAGTCCAGTTTCTCGGGACCCTTTGTGACCCGGGAATATTGTATTCCCCAAAGCAGACGTCGTCCGTGCACTCCTTCAGCAAACATGTCACAGAACGCTGCTGCTATGGGCACAGAGTAGGTGCTCTCAACTGCCTTGCGGCTCCAGGGTGTACTGTGTGTCTGCGCCTACAACGAGCGCAGAGGGCTCTCTGAATCCACACACAGGGCTCCAATAATATTTATTGAGCATTTACTATGCACCTGACTCTAAGCCAATCACTAGCTAGGACATCCCAAAGAATAATCCGGACCACTCTTGGAGCTGTCTGCCTAATGAAAGAAGCTGTCAACAAATAAGTAGACAGATAAAAGGCACAATTTCTACTCCTGGAGACCACTGTGGATGAAAGCTGAAGGGGATGGGGTGGCAGAGCAAGGAGTTGGGTAGAGGGGAAGGGTGGGAGTGGGGTTGGGGAAGACCTGCCCAGAGTGTTCATGTCTATCAAGTTCAGAAAAGCAAGCCATGACAAGACGTATTCAGCAAAGGAGTTTCCAGATAGGGGGAATCTACAAGTGCAAAGACCCTGGGGTGGGGGCAGAAGGTCACATTGAGGGGATTGGGGAGATGGCTGACCACTCTTGAAGAGGACTCATTTGGTTCCCAGGGGATGTGGCGCCCTCTTCTGGTCTCCTTGGGCATCTGCATATACGTGCTGCACATAGTCTCACCCACAGGCACATACACACACATAAATGGAAAGTAATGAACTCCATTTTAAAACATATTTTAAGCTGATCATGATTCTGGATGCTCGGTACTTGCTGGCGGAAGTAGGTGGAGCTCTGTAAGTTCGAGGCCAGCCTGGTCTACCCTGTGAGTTCCAGACCAGCCAGGGCTACACAGGAAGAAGACCTGGCGGCTGTGAGGCCTCCCACAGCCTTTATCGAAAGGGGTTTTTGTGGTGCCCAGTGGCTCCCAAGGCCTTGGACCCTGCCGCTTAACAGACAGCTCGGCCCAGGGAGCTTTTCCTATAATGGGATTTGCTCAATGGGATTTGGCCTGGAACATCAAATCAAATCCACATCTGGGGTAGGTGTGAATGGTGGCTTCCAGTCCCTGGAGGCCTGGGGATCAAACGGTTTCCATTTCATCTGCCTGAGAGATGCTTCTCAGCAAACAGACAGGGCACAACCTAAGGAAACTCAATGACTACCATGGAGGGGAGACTTCAGCCAGGGTTGTACCAGGTCACTGTGGTGTCTTCTCAAGCAAATGGGTTTTCTACCCCTAATCTGTAAGTGAGGCACCAGGGAGTGAAAGGTCCATTGGATATCATACAGTTGGTTACTGGCCACTCCAGG